TTTTTTTTTGGTGTGTTATACAATGAAATGGAAGGGGGTATTTATAGTTTTGAGATAGGGACCAAAAGTGCAAATCTCACCTACCAAGAATGATCAATTTGCAATATTCCCATCTCACCTACCACTCATTGCATCATTGCTTATCTCACTAAGGAGAGTTGCATCATTGCTTACCTCTCCCATACATCACCATAATTGTTGGAAAAACTAACAGGCCAGTACATTTAAGTTAATTACTGGATTCTAAGTTAATAATTTATTCGTATACAATGAATATCTTAAAGTATAGAATTTGGACTAAAGTTTACATAGTTCGACCAGACTTATATTAGGCATTCTAGCTCTGCCCTGCCGGCGACTAACAAATCAAATAAATAAAGCAAGATAAAGCACTTCGGTACAAGTGTTTTTAAAGAAAAGAGTTGTAATATATGGATGAAAAGTATTCTAGCTAGGACAATTATATTATTCAAGAATGGACTTCAAAAGATAGAATATTTGACCTTGAACAAATTCTAAAGATAAAAGAAATATTAATTAACATCCATCCAACCAAACTTTTGATTGCACGTTGCTTCCTCAATAATAATCCGTTTGCATGTGTAAACACACATTGTGAGTTGAGAGTGTTACGTTACCGAGTAGCATCAGAATTAAGGCTTTCTTTAAGATACGATGAAATAATAGGAAATTTAGTGTTAATTTTGGATATATGTAATTACTTATATCAAATGTACATGAAATTACCTGAAATAGTAAAAATATTTATTAGAATCGAGTTACGTTGTATTTCTCTTAATTAGCAAAACATATAATTCTCGTCAATTATATATTACCTAAGATTAATTTTTTTTTTTGGTACATTGAAAAAGATATGTACAATTCACAAAGTTTTCATAAGATACATGTATAGCTCAGATTTGCCAAGAGAAAGAACTCCATAATTGTAATCTTCTCTAATTACGACTAATAATCGTGATCTTATCTAGTTTTAATTTGACTAGCGTTAATTTTGAATATCAGTAATTATATCAAATATACATGACATTACCTGCATTGTAAAATATTTATTAGAATCACGTGTATTTCTCTTAATTAGTAAAACATATAATTCTCGTCAATTCATATATATTACCTAAGATTAATTCCTTTTTTTTTTGGTACATTGAAAAAAGATATGCACAATTCACAAAATTTTCATAAGCTACATGTATAGCTTAGACTTGCAAAGAGAAAAAACTCCATAATTGTAATCTTCTTTAATTAATAATTATGATCTTATCTAATTTTACCTTTACTATTGAATATTTCTCCTATAAATAAGACCTACACTAGTTAGTATAAATCACTCTTCTATCAATTTCTTCAAACAAAAGAAAAAAATGGCTTTGAAATTCAACTCCTTCCCCTTTACAATATTCATAATTCTAGTAATTGCTTCTACTTTCTTCCATTTTTCCTCAGCAAAAGATGGATTGAAACCTGAATTCTTTATTGGTCTGCCAATAAAGGATGTTAACGTGGTGGAAATTGCAAATTTTGCTACAAAAAAGCAGGACATAACTATGTACTAAAACAAGTGGATGGAGTTGAAACTGTTACTTTTACTAGTGGTACAAATTGTGAGTTATTTATCACTGTTAATGAATGGGATACAATTTCTGGCGGCCATGTTGCGGTTGTTTTCGTTGGTTCCAACAATTTCAAGAAACTTATTTCCTTTGATGGGCAGTTTTCTTCTATTAAAAATTAAGTGTATGATCGTCCAGAAACATTACACTAAAAGTATATATATGAAATGAAATAAACCATTCGAATTAAACATGGTTTTGTCTATTATATATAATATGTTTTGTCTCGCATTATTATTGATATGTTTGGTTGTACTATTAAACATGCATGTTGAAAATTTCACGTTTTGGTTAATCACATAAATTATATGGAGATTATGCAAATTTTACGTCTCAACTATATAATGACGGCACCGAACCTATAGATCGAGGATCTCGAGAATGGAGCAAAAATAAGATAGAGTTAGAGAATGGATATTAGTCAATTCTGACGGAAGCAAACTTTTATCGGACGTAGGATAAAGTAATTATTTTTAAAGCCTAGCCTTTCTGTCCCAAGCCAAGCATTCTAATCAAATAACTATAGATATTGAGCGTCTTACGTGGTCATCCGCTTGTCTATTTTTTATACACCAAATGTCCTAGTCCTCATATTTGAGAATTATGAAATATTTATTTTCTTGCTAATCCACCCTTTTTCTTTGAAAAAAAAAAGACTAACTAGACATTTCCTATGTACTAAACATCCATTCAAGTGTGTGTTTGGTATAACATTTTAAAAAATATTTTTAAATTTTTAATGTTTGGTTGCCTAAAAATGCTTGAAAAAAATGCTGCTACTACAACAACAAACTGAGCGTAATCCAGAAGTGGGATCGGGGGAGAATAGTGTGTACGCAAACCTTATTCCTACATTGTAAAAATAGAGAAGTTGTTTTTCGATACACCCCTGGCTTAAGAAAATGCTTGAAAAAAAAAATATTTTTTCTAAAATAATATGTTCCTTAGAAAGTTGGACACATTGCCGTGCTAATATAAGGCACCAAAATCCATGTTAAATTACTGGCAGTGTGCAATCCTTACTGGTTTGTATGTTTCGTAGTGATCTTTTTGCTCTGTGAATATTTCCTTCATTGTCCACCAATTTTCTTGTCCCATGACATTCCATGCAATAAAGTACATACGCCCCAAGTTTGATATGAAACTAACTTTATAAAATATAACAAATCTTATTATTCTTGAGTTGGAAGTCTTCCATGACCAATTTTACAAACTACTACTTGTAAAAGAAATATCTACGACTAACTACCCAAAAGTGTAGTAACAATTCCAGAATTTAGAATCTCTCCTTAGTCACTCAAGTATATTTTCATTATTTCTTGCAATCGGAGCAGATAAACGGTAAGAAAGTCATATATGAAGCTCCAAATAGAGTACTATTACACGTAGAAAAGAATAACTTTGCATAATAATTTTGATATTATTATAATATTACACGACTACTATATAGTTTATTTATCGCAATTTGATTAGGGGTGGGTCTTTTCGGTATTCCATAAAAGAAAACAAAAAAGAACTCCGATTGTGTATACCTTCTAACTTCAATCCCCGTGATATCGCCGAAGGGTTAACACTGTTCCTCACGTAATTCCAATTCATGCTTCTCAATTCTCTCTTCTTTATTACAGATCCATAGTTCAATTTCTCCCTCTTTTGCGCTGTTGTGTTCACAGCTCTCGGAACGCATCAGCTCCAATGACGGCAGAAACAAAGCGTGAATTTGACACTTCATCGGTGGCGGAATCGCCGTCTCAATCTCGGGTCTTGGAACCCGGTGATCCGAGACGCCATAGGCCGGATGATTGCAAACCGGAATTGACCGGTTCGGTTTCCGGCGTTCGGTTCGAGGAAGCTCAGGTTAGGGCTAGTGATAGTAATGGTATTGTTGTGTACAGGAGGAACAAGAGGCAGAAGACGGCAGATTCAACAAACGGCAATTCAAGTGGCAAAGTCGTAAATATGGATGAAACGGAGGGTAATTCAGGAATTCACGTGTTAGACAGTGACGTCATGGAGGTTGAAGTCAAGGAAGAGTCAAGGATTAGGCGGTTCACTCGGTTAGCTTTGGAGCAGAAGAAGATAGAGCAAATTCCAAATGGAAAATCTGAAGGTGAAGTTGAGGAGAGAAGTTGTGGTGTAAACATGTCGGGGAGGAAACTAGAAATGAAAATGTCCAAGAAAATTTCGATAACGGAAAGGCCTACAACGGTTAGGGAGCTGTTCGAGACTGGTTTACTGGAAGGCTATCCTGTTTTTTACAATGGTGGGAAGAAGGTATCATCTCACAATGTCGTCCACATTCCCCTGTTCCCTTAGTATTAGGTGCTTGTTCTATTTTGACTTGAGTTTAAGTTCTACACAATGACGGTGCAATTATATTTAGCAATCAGTTTACTTGTTAGGTAATAATAAATAATTATATGTAATCTCCTGATGTGCATTTACTAGTGATCTAGGCAAAATGGTACGTAACCTGCTCAGGTTAAAATTCATTAATAGTGTAAAAACTCTTGACACTATATATAACCTAAAATCTCTTAAATTAACCCGGGGCAAGATATTGGAGAATAGCATTAGAGGCATTTATCTCTTTTTATGTAGATAAAGTTTCCCTCAATTATACTATTAGTAAAAAAAAAAAAAAGAGTTACCTGTCGATTATGAAAAACAATCCAATAAGTTCAAAATGTCAAAGCAGCATAAAAGGGTTTACGATTCAATCTGTATTTGTCTAGAATTTTTTCTTTTCTACAAGCAGCATTCATGCTAAATTTCTGAAACCATTCTTTGTTTAACAACAGTAAGGCTAAAACTATATAGTGTAAATTGCTGTTGATCCGCTTCCAGTTTCTTTTCCTTAAATGTGCTCATGACTTGTGTCCATTTCTTGCTATAAGACCTTTTAATGCTTTGATGAATTCAGTGGTTTTGTCTTTATCTGATGATTAATATTGTCTTAATTTTAGGGAATTCCACTCCGAGGAACAATTAAAGATACCGGAATTCTTTGTTCCTGTGATCTGTGCAATGGAACTAGAGTGAGTATTTAGTTTTTTCTATTTCTCTTGCTTCCCTTTTATCACACTTTAGTTGTCATTATAAACAGTTTCTTAACTGACTGCATACTCTACATTCTGTATCACTTTTGTAATGTTAGGTTGTCCCTCCTAGCAAATTTGAGATCCATGCATGTAATTCATACAGACGTGCATCAGAGTATATCTGTCTGGAAAATGGCAAGAGCCTACTCGACGTGGTCAAAGAGTGTAAGAAAGGTTCCTTGAAGACATTAGAAGAAACAATTCAGAGTATCATTGGTCCAGTTCCTGTGAAGAAAAATCTCATTTGTCCGAATTGCAAGGGTGAGCTTGCTCATGTGAGCTTGAATACAGTTACATGTTTCTTTACAAGTGTAATTAGAAGATATGTGGTTACTGTTGTGGCTAGGGTCTTTTGTTGCAACGCTAGCTGGAAAAGATGAACAACTTTGTGATTCATGCATAATTTCTCTAAGACCAGAAGCCACTCCAACAAAGTCGATAAATACTGAAAATGGGTATGTTTTTTTTTTTAAAAGTCGCCTCATGATCTTATCGCTTTTGTTTGCTCCTTTTTCTTTTGTCCACTAGTGGAGCCTGATTCTTACGATTAGTTGAGCACCAATTTAGATTTTTATGATTTTACAGGATTCAGGCAAAAGGCTTAAAAGTTGGAACAGGAAGATATTATGTGTTGGATCTACTATGTGTCACTATAGTACTATTGTGCTATATTCCTAGAATGGCTCACTGTTTCGATAGTTCCTCCTTCCCAAATTTCTTTGTCAGTATAACCACATAAAATATGACATGATATGAAACGAAAGAGCATAATAGAAGGGGTAAGCAATTCCTGATATTTAAAAAAATAGAATGGGTAAGCAATTTTTTTTTCGAACAAAAAGTGGATCAACTTAAACGGGTAGAATTTTTTATGCAAGACTTAGAGAGGAAAAAGATATTGGTTGAGTCAAAGTAATCAGAACAATTGACAAACAGTTCAATAAGACAAGAATATACAGTCACTTGTAATGTTTGTAGCTTGTGGGTATCCAAAAATTGTGTTGAAAGAGATGATTCCTTATTCTCTTAACAAATCAAGACATCACTGATTTATTGGTTATATCAAATAGTAAAACTGTAAAAGAATCTATAGTTTGTTGTTTCTATTGAAGGATCTAGATCCATGATGTACAGAAATGAACATTAGACCTAACTCAACTCCGAAACCTAGTTCATAAGTGAGGATTGCCCCAGACCATATAGGGAGACAACAACCCATTCCCTCTACCAATATGGGACGCTTAACACCCCTGCACACACATGACTGGACATCTGGCGCGTGAACAAAGAACGTGGAGGCCCAGTATTTGGTAACCAAGAATATGGATTGGCCAGACACTGATACCATGTTAAGAAAATGTAACATGGTGCATACAGAGATCCTAGGTTCGAGGCTAACTGCTACCCATTATCAAAAAGAATTTTTGTGCTTTGCCCATGGAAAAAATCAAGCCCCACGTAAGGAGGTGTGTTGACAACATAATTAAACAAATAGAAGTGTACTCCCTCCTTAAGCTTTTAGATGAGATGATCACACACCTCAACAACACATGAAAATGCGTACTGCTGAAAATTATGACAAGTTTTAAAGGAATGAAAACGGACATATGAGGTAACACACTGTTTGAATAGTCGATGTGCGCCACAAGCTGGCATGGACTCCACAGTGATCCCTAAAAAGGGATAAAAGAGGGACACATGGTTGTTCAAGGAAGTGACAGGGAGAACCATAATACTGGCAGCTGGTCACAGGTTGATCAGATAGAATTTTAGCAATAAACAGAGGATGTAAGTGGTTGAGGACACAATGCTTATCATGGATTTAAACCTTCTTTGATGACACTAAGCAGAGGGTCGGATTAGCCTCCTATCCTGTTCTGTTAATTTTTTTTTTTGAGAATGTCATGTCCTGTTCTGTTATTGTTGAGATCTTTCTACGAGTTGACTGTTGGTTTCTCTATTTATTTAACTAGTAATGCATGTATCCTTTCGAAGAGATGGTTGTCTGACAAACTTTTTTTTTTTTCCAATAGTTACAGTCTTTCTTTTTTGTTATAGTGGTCATTCTTATTCTTGATTTTTTTTTGTATAACAAATTTAGGTCGTGTGAGCCGGTTCTGAGCTTAAACTCCTCTGGAACTTCAAATGTGTCACCTATTTCGCAAAAATGTACTAGAGGAAGAAAAAAGAGAAAGTTGGTATCAATATAGTTAATTGATTCTGGTTATTTTTTGGTGCTCGTTGAACTTTTGTTCAATGTGAGTAAAGTGGGTTCATGAACATGTGCTAATGCTATTTTATTTGCATATTAAGGGCCATGGTGATGCATTCAAGTAGAGTCTCTCCTTCAGTGCATACTCTCTCCAGAAAGAAGAGGTAGGACACCAAATAAGTGTGTTATTGCCCTTAATGTTTTCTGTTTAATTTTCTTCTTTAACAAAGTTAGTGAAAATGTAGCCTTTTGTCATCTTTCTCTTCTGACCTCTTTTTATTTGGACCGTCAAGGTTAATGCAGCCAGCTGTGGCTCCGAAGTCGGCTGGAACTGCTACTGTATGCAGTTCATTCGGAAACAACATGCAGGACAATATCTCAAAAAAGTTGGTGAATATTACTCAACTTGTCATTAGAACTTTTATCTGAGAAACTACCTCTAACTCATATGGTGCCTCTTATTGTTTAAGTCAGATTGTCAAAATCAATTGCAGTTTCGAAGTACTCAAAAATTGCTCTGCCTGGTGTCTCAGTACACTCTAGGACCCAATGGAAAATGACAAAAAGGTTGGCATTTGTCTTCTGAATTACTCTTATTATTGTGGATTCTTCTGATAGCGATGTCACTTATAGTGCTTGGTTCTGTGTTATCACTTCCTTCAGGGATCAAAAGATGCATAAATTGGTTTTTGATGAAGGTGGACTGCCTGATGGGACTGAAGTAGCTTATTATTCTCGTGGAAAGGTTGCTGAGCATCTCCTTTACGACTGTTTTATTTAGTTGTTGATCCATTGTAAACAATAGATTGTTGCCCTGCTTTATTTTGTTAATGTTATTTGCTTATCTATAACTGGCAGAAATTGCTTGTTGGTTATAAGAAGGGATCTGGTATATTCTGTTCTTGCTGCAATATTGAGGTACAACTCTTGGAGACTGCTTAAGGTCTTCCCAATTGTCCTGCAAGATATTCTGATGGCATTTCATTTTTATGGTTAGGTTAGTCCATCTCAGTTTGAAGCTCATGCAGGTTGGGCATCACGCAAGAAACCGTTAGTCTTCATCGTTCTTGTTATCTGTCGTTCAAAGAATTTATATCACTAGTGACAGTAAGCGAACCTAATTCTGCTGACACGATTCTAACTTGGGTACTTTTCTTTGTCAATGTCTGCTGCAGTTATGGGTACATTTACACGTCTAATGGAGTATCTCTACATGAATTTGCTATATCTCTATTAAAAGGCCGCAAGTCTTCAGTTAAAGACAGTGATGACTTGTGCATCATATGCGCAGATGGTGGAAAGCTTGTGCTTTGTGATGGATGTCCTAGGGCTTTCCATAAAGGTGAAAGTTGGATGTTTTTCCTGATTGACAGATCCCAATATTTAGCTTTCTATTCTAAAAAAATATATTTTACAAGACTTTCTTCTTCTCTTCTTTTTCCCCCCTGGTGATTGATGATTGAGTTCATCATGTTCTGTTGATTATCCATGCATTGTGTTGCTTTCCTTTCTTGGGGTTTCTGATGTGAAGGTGGTTGTGTTGACAGGAGGTAAGATAGGACTAAGCGAATAAGAACTTAATTTTCTGTAACTGATTTTTTCAGGATGGGGGCATTGGGTGAGTTCAGGAAATAGCTCATCACTGTGAATTTATTAACTTCAGTTTAATTGACTATTGGTATTTGTAACGGTGTGTAATTCTATTTTCAGCCTGTGGGCTGCCACATCTTAACTGAGAACTTTCACAAGTTGGGATTCTATCTATGATGAAGTTTCCGTTGATAAGAACTGGATGCAGTTTTCTTCTTGTGGCTAATTTTTATTCTGTTGCTTATTTATTTGTATGTAGCCACTTACCCTAGTTGCAGCAGACTTGCTATACCGTTTAAGATTTAAGAAATAGCATCTTCGCTCTGAAATTTCTACTTGGTATAGCTCTTTATCAGTTGGCCATTACATTTTAATGGGGATTGCTAGCTACTGAATTTGGATATTGCACTTGCTTATTATTGAGGTTGCAGCCATAGCTATATTTACTTGAAAATAGGTGTAGCTTAACTAGAGAAGTTCTAGAGAATACAAGTGCATAAGAGCTTGGGAATTGATGCAGAGTTAGTTCATTAATTAGTCAAAGCTCTGAAATCCTCGAATGACCGATCACCTTCACTTTGGAGCAGCTACACCTCCTCTCACCCCCACCAATTTAAAAATGAAAAAAGAGCACACCCAAAGGGAAAAATCAGTATCAGGCTTAAGGTATGGTGGGACGTTAGTCATGTTCCACATCCTCGACCCCGACGTTCTTTCCGCACTTATCTTATCTTTTAGGTGAGGGTTTAGTGAATCAGCACAGTATTAAGGATTAGTTAAGTGACACTCAAAGGTATGTTCTAGTGGTTAATGAAATGGGTGCAAATCTTGGAGTGCAGGGTTCAAATTCCCGCAGAAATGAGAAACATTACGCGATCTCTTTCCAGCTGCCTAACCCTTGGTAAGAAGAGTTACTCAGTACTTGTGCTAGTGGGAGGTAGCAGTAATCCGGTGGAATAGTCGAGGTGCGTCCAAGCTAGCCCAACACCACCATTATTTAAAAAAGGGATTAGTTAAGTGGACTGAGTTTAGTTGACTGTCGGTGAGCATGTACATAACAATTTACTGATTTTGACCGGGCCTTTAAATGAGAACCACTACAGTCTCTGAACCTGTTGAATAGGAAGATCTCAAAACATGCTGAACCAGCGCCTAGTTGATTAACTTGAACTTGATAAAATCTTGTATCCGTCTTCTTTGCTTAGTCCAGTTTTACTTATGGGCTGTTTTCAGTTGTGTAAGTTATTAAATATTAAAAAAGGAATACATGTAAGGCAGAGGTTGACTATGCCTTCTCAGGCTTGGTGTTCCGCGTAGCACAAGAAATTGGAGCTGTGTGGAGCTCTTTTTCTTTCTGCCTCCCTCAATAAAATCTGTTTGTCTTTAAATCTTAGTTCTTTTAGGGGTCATTTGGTTGGGGAACAAGTTATCCCGGGATGATAATGCGGGGATTAAATAGTGGATATATTTTTATGTGTAGATGTTTGGTTCATTTCATTGGACGAAAAATGGGATATACGGGGTATAATATAAAGCATGTGTTTGATGTATACTAGATAAGTTGGGATAGGCTTTTATTTCTAATTTTAACCTTGAATTTTTTAAATGACTTTGGGAAAGAGCCTTGGAGAAGGGCATCTTTGTTATTGTAGCGTTTTATCCCGGGATTAGTAATGTCGGGCTCAATGCGGGATAGAAAAATACCACAATTGTGGATTAATCCCGGGATTGCTAATCCCAGATTCAAAAATTCAATTAAATGCTGAATAAAATAACCTCGCATCTAATCCAGAGATTGTTATCCTTTATCCCACCAACCAAACGACCTCTTAGAGTATATAGTGGTCTTAGCTCTCCCGTTTCTGCAAGAAAAGTTGAACCTTCTATTAAAGCTGTGCACCACTATGAAATGGTTCTGAAGGATCATTAGCTTCTGTTAAGTTTCTCATAGACTGATTTCATGATATTAACCAATTTTGTTATGAATGGTTTATATAGCTAACAATGAGTTTTGACCTTCACTATACTTTGTAAAGCAAATTTAAACTTTGGCTTTGCTCTACTTGCTGTTACTTCTCACACCATTTAATTGATGTTGGCATGTTGCTTGCTGGTGCTGGTCATAGTATCATATTTCATCTATAAGGCTTTGATGTGTAATTTCAACGGTCTTGCAGTGTGTGCATCATTACCGGCTATCCCTCGGGGTAAATGGTACTGCAAGTATTGTGAAAGCATGTTACAGAGGGAGAAGTTTGTGGAGCGCAATGAGAATGCCTTAGCAGCCGGTAGGGTCTCTGGCACTGATCCCATAGAGCAAATAACAAAACGTTGCATTCGTATTGTCAAGAACGCAGAAGAAGCAGAATTTATTGCATGTGTTTTATGCAGGTAATTCTTTTGCGAAAAGCACATTGGAGCCTAGCCCTAGCTTTGGTTGTTTGATCCGGCATGTCATGTCTTTTCTTTCTACAGAGGTTATGACTTTAGCAAGTCTGGTTTTGGTCCACGGACTGTCATCCTATGTGACCAGGTTTTTCTTCATCATTCTTTATATCTGTCTTATTCAACTAAATATATAAACTTGAAATACTTTACTCACCATTTGCTTTTCAGTGTGAGAAAGAATATCATGTTGGCTGCTTAAAGAGAAGCAAGATAGCAGATTTAAAGGTGCGTGCATTTGCATTTCAGGACTCTTTCATGAGTAGTTCTTTTCTAAGTCCTGTGTGCCTGTATTCCTTTTCCTTTATTATCAGGTGAGATTTTGTTCCTTGGGGGATAGGTTTTGGGGTTAATAGTGCTTCTTGCACCACAGGAATTGCCTAAAGGAAAATGGTTCTGTAGTAAGAATTGCAACAAGATCTACTCTGCACTGCAAAGTTTGCTCACCTCAGGAGAAGAGAGGTTGCCAGATTCTTGCTTGGATGCAATAAGGGTGAAGGAAAAAGAAAACCGTTTGGCTGCTGTTGGTGAACTTGATGTTAGATGGAGACTTCTAAGTGGCAGAATTTGCTCTCGTGAAACCAGAAGGCTACTGGCAGAAGCTGTTTCTATCTTCCATGTAAGCATTATGCCTATTATCATTTATTCAAAAGCTTGATCAATCGACATTGACTATGATATTTAAGGTACTAAAGAACAACAAAAGCTTGCTCTCCACTTTACTTGATGGGGTAGGGGGAGGCCGGCAAATAAGTTACTCATGCTCTTTTTTGGTGTCAGTGACTTTTGTCATTTTGTGACTGTTTTTTATGAATGGTATGGACATATTTAAATTATTGCTCTAGCGCATTTAGAATTGCTGATGCGGGAAAACAGACTTGTTATGATGTTAGTATCTGTGTATCATTTAAACTTGCTGTTCTGGTACTATCGATTTCATTTAACTTGCTGTTATGGCATTTATACCAGCCTTTTGTTAGCAGAGTCTCAGATGATTTACCATTTAATTGATCTGATATGGATATTTCTTTTCATTTTACCCTCATTAATAAGATGACTTTCATTGCATATATTTTCTCAACTTCCTTTGGAAGTGTCTTTCAAGAATTTCTGGTATATCTTTCATTGCATGTGTTAGCTTTGAGGAAAAAAGTTAGCATCAATGTTTTCATTATTGACTTTTCAGGATTGTTTCGATCCTATTGTTGATTCAGTAACTGGACGTGACTTCATTCCATCTATGGTCTATGGGTAGGCTTTGTTCTCCTTTGTTTCCAGAGTTGGATTTTCCATTTAGTTTCGTGATTGCTCCAATCTTAGAGGCGCTCTTCCTCACCTTATCTTGCCTCCTGCAGAAGGAACATTAGGGGCCAAGACTTTGGAGGCATGTATTGCGCTATATTGACTGTAAAGTAAGTAGTACAGTCTGTTCATTAAAGCTCTTGGTAGTTTAAGCTTATTATGATTAACTAGCTCAAGAAGCTCTTTGGCTAATCAATGCAGCTCAACAGTAGTATCAGCAGGGATCCTCCGGATTTTTGGCCAGGATAGGGCAGAACTCCCTATTGTGGCAACCCGTGTTGGTAGCCAAGGCAAGGTATAGCAATGAAGCTGCTCTCATAAGACCTCTCTTGTTCCTTCTATGATATTGTCTTTTATTTTTCTGTCTTTTTACGTTTTGTTGCTTGGAAAATTTCTTGCAATACTTAGTTGCGTTAGCTAGAATTACATCTTGGAAGACCAGTTAAGCACGGCTCAAATTCAGAAGGCATTACCTTACATATGTTTAGGCTTTTGGGTAAAAGAGTTACATAACTCAACGAAAAGATAATTAGCTGTCCGATAGGAAGCAGACAATATTTATTGCTTGGCCATTTATACCAATGACGTATTTTTGAAGAACTTGAATACCGGGTATATGCGCCTGGAACATATTGACCTCCAACAGTTGCCAGCCACTGCCAAAATTTCACCTCTCACTGGATTGTTGGCCTGTTCTTTAGTATATGTTAACAGATGATCCTTTTTCCCTTTTTTTACCTTAAAGTGATACCAATAGAATTAGAATTTAGGCTTTGACAAAGGAATCATATCAATTTCATGGATTGTAATATGTAAATGCTCTGCCAAGATTCATTTAGGTTAACACCTGCTTAACCATATCCATATGAAACAAAGGTGAATGTTAGTTGGCATATTTGTGAACTCTGATGTTTCATGATATAGAAATATGGTGTACTTGCTTAGTTTACATGTTGGGGAAGCATTTCTAGTTAATTAGAAGTGTATTTTTTGAAAGATATTTGAATGTTTACAGGGATACTTTCAGCTGCTGTTCTCCTGCATAGAAAAATTGCTCTCGTTTTTGGGTGTGAGAAGCTTTGTACTCCCAGCTGCTGTTGAAGCTATGTCAATATGGACTGAGAAATTTGGATTCCAGGAGTTAACACCAGATCAGGTTTGTTTAGCATGTTTCCATGCTGGTGCTGCTGCTGCTGCATCATATTTGGCCCTTTGAATGCTAAGCTGTTGTATTCTTTGCAGCTTGTCCGCTACCGAAGAACCTGTTGGCAAATGATTAGCTTTAAAGGCACATCTATGCTGGAAAAGTCGGTCTCTAGATGTAGAATCATTCAGCAGCGGGAAGCTGAAAATGATGTTCCAGATGAGTAGTTTGACACAGATATTAGTTTTATCCCATTTTGTAGAGCCATTTTTTTTCAATACATGTACATTATATAGGAGTATCTTATTTTAGCAGAGAGGGTGAGTAGTAACTTTTATGAATGAGCTGTAGCGGATCAGAATTGTGTAAAAAGGTTCTATGACTGCGAGCGTATTTTGAATTCGATTCTCTTTCCTTCCTCTTGGAATTTATGTAACTTTTTCCAAAACCTCATATTGGTGATGATTTAATAGAGTTCAATTCAGTAACAAGCATGATAGGGTGGTTGGTTTTTATATTTGAAGAGGAACACTAATCCGAGCATGCATCCTCATGAATAGGAAAAGCAGAAGCTTTTTCTATTTATTGTTTGAAACATTCTCTTCGCCGTTATTAATACCGAAGAACTTCGAAATATGAGAGCTTGATCCTAGCTGCGTAACTAAGTTGGTGTAGAGATGGATGCATTATTTCAAGTCAATAAGTGCAGAATACCATTGCCACCTGCTATTTTAGTTATATATCTTTTGTACATAGAGCTCAGTCGGTGGCAATAAGTAAAGTTGGGAAGTAACAGGTACGTTGTTGAATTAGTTGAGGGATGTGCAAGTTTTGACACCATTTATAAATAAAATGACTGCGACCTAAGCCACGCTCTTAAGTTGTAAGACTCATCTATTTTCTATAAAATTCCATTGACTGGGTCATTGAAACTCCAACCTCCCTCACAGTTAGTTACATCTTACATGATGTCAATAAGTTCACTAAAGGAGTTGAGGCATAGTCATCCAACTCGTCAGCTTATATATACATCATCTCACACTTCTGCTGTTGTTATAACCAAAAGAATATAAAGAATCACAATTACATTCTCAAATACACTGACAGATAAAAGGACGAAAAATTGTCTAAGCGAAAAAGAAAGATCGTCATTTCATGTTGTTAAACTCTTTAGTTTATACTCCTTGCTTCCTGCAAAAGCAACGGCGCTGTACTAGAAGCAGAATAATATTACAATATGAAGAAGCTTCTCGAGCTTTCTTAGTTATTATCAATGTTAAGCTTTTGCAACAATGTTCTTTTCTTTTTTATTGAAATCTCTCAGAGGTAAAAACAAATAATAGTAAAAGATGTAAGAAATTAAACTACTTAGATCGCCATTGATTTGAAGTAAAAGTAGCAGCAGCTCCTATATCTCTTTGTTGTATTCTATGTTTCTCGAACTCTTAAAAAAAGCTGCCGGGTGTGTTGAATCCTTCAAAAGCTATGTATTTTTCTAGGATCCGACATAGGTGAGGCAACATTTTAAAGCATCCGAGCATCATAGTGTATAAATTATCTTTCATTTTCTTTACTGTCTATTCTACTGAGCAGACTCCCTCTGTAGGGGCGGAGCTAGAGTGCCGAAAGCGGGTTTGGCCGAACCCAGTAGCTTTAGTTCGAACCCTATATTTGTTTTAAAAATTCTATTAAAATGTATAAATTATTAATTTAGAACCCAATAACTTCAAACGATAAGAATCCTGAACTCATAAGCTTGAAATCCGGGCTCCGCCTCTGTCTCTCTATCGTCTCAATCCACCGGCAAGGGCCAACCCTTCGCTTTGAATAGGTCAAAATCTTCCGTATAACTACATGGACCGGGTTGGTTCGGTTTTTATCAAAACCAAACCAAGCCAACTATATCGGTTTGGATTGGTTCGATTTTGTCGGGTTTTTCGGGTTTTCTAATTTTTTTGTTACATGAATATTATTTCAATCTTACTTTGTTAAAATTATAGATAAAGCTTTGATAAGTGAATATATGTTTAGTAAATATGGAAAAAAATTGACAAACATATGATCTATTAAAATATTTTTATGGGAGAATTTTTTTAGTAACGCATGATAGTTATTATCTTAGTCGTCTAACAATAATTTTTCGTTAATTTACGCTTTCAAGGTTAATACATGAGAGGATCCCAAATATATCTACATTTTCTAAAGAAAATTCACTATAAAGTCTTAAAAATATAAATAAAATTTATATATTTATATGTCGGTTTGATTTGGGTTTTTTACTCAATATCAAACCAAGTCAAACCAAACCTAGTCGGGATTTTTAATCGGGTTGGTTTGGTTTTTCAGTTTGATAAAAATTTTCCGGTTCGGTTTGAACACCCCTACATATAAGCACGCATCTAAGCAAAGCTTTCATCATGAATTCACACCCAATTTATAAAAGATTTTAAGTTATATAGATCGACAACATAAATAGTTTTACATTTTAATATGTTGTAACTAAATTGCTATCTTACAATTCATCTCTCTCACTGTTTACATGAACCGTTATTATTTCAAATTATATTTTAGGTAATCTAACAGTGTAAAATAAATTTATGTTATCAGAATATAGAAGTTAAACATGATTAAAATGGTAAATTAAATCCCTTTCCCTTACATAATTTCTTGGCGTGTCCATTATCTAATCTCCACTTTTTCCAGCTGCCCATATGTTCCACCATGTATAATAATACTCCATGAATGAGCCTTTGCACACACTTCTCTTAAGTCTTACCTCCTACGTCAATAAAAAACTGGCCATTCTTCCAATATTAAATATGTCATGTTTGTGACAATTCTTAACTCTTTAAAGCCACCCAAAAAAGCAGTAAGCAAAAGAACATCAATTCAAAAAATACCTAAACTATGAACACTAGGAGAAGAACGTCCATTCTCTTTTGGTTCATTGCCTTTACCATTGCACTCTTTTCCATCATTTTTCCTCTCTATTCCAATTTCCACTCTCCCGCAAATATTAATGCAATTGAAACTACTAGCTTTTCACTTGCTTTGTTGAAAAGGGTAGTTGAGAAAAGTGGTTTACAAGATCTCTTTTTAATTTTTGAAGAAATTACTAGGCTGCTGCATAATTCTAAATGCGACGATACGAAATGGAACTCCAAGCTTGTATCAGTTTATGGAATTTCTCGTGTTTTGACAGTGGATTTAAATGGTTGTGCAAATTTCAGTAGTATACAAAAGGCAGTGGATTCAGTTCCTGATGATAGCCCTACTACAACACTTATTCTAGTTGATTCAGGCACATACACGTAATATTCTTTTTCCTTTGTTATATTGTGAGTTTGAAACGAAATTCAACAATTTAAGTTATGCTGACGTGTCACTGCATCCTAGCCAGGAATTCGGAATTCTTACAAGGGGATTTTGATTCAAAATCTTATAATTACCCTATTTATGCCTTATATATATATATATAACTTAATTTATCGAATCCCCTTCATAGCATGTTGCTCTGTTACTCCTGACAGTGTAAAATAATTTTTTATATTTTAGGTGTATTTTAACATGTTGTAACACCGGCAACCTTGGAATTTTCAAGGTCACAAATCTGAATTTTTTTTTGTTAAATGAAGTTTCATGATATTCTGACAGGGAGAAAGTGGTGATAAACACTAACAAAACAAATTTAATAATACAAGGCCAAGGTTACCTTAATACTGCTATAGCATGGAATGATACTGCAAATTCTACTGGTGGAACTGCCAATAGCTTTACTGTTGCTATTTATGCTCCCAATTTCATAGCCTATAATATCAGCTTCCAGGTACACTAATTTTCTTTCCATTTTTCATAAACTAATTATCAATCATATAATTTGAATTTTCTCGTGTATTAACGATCTTTTTAATTTATGTTTAAGTTCTAGGCACTGACCGTGTAAATTTCTATGATATATATAAACATTAATTAGTTACTCCAATGAGCGTTTGTCCACTCCACACCGGGTATAGTGCTAGTTTGTTAGTGCCTTGTTTTCGTATGGTAGTGGTACGTGTTGTGTTCAGATTATTTTTTCGCTCCAGTTTCCTAATACCTTGCCATTGTTGATATTGTTTTTTTCATTTTTTTTTTATTCTTAGATTGCTTTTTCCATTTATTTTTCTGATCCGCTAATTCTATTCTATTGTCTCTTTTCATTTTCTTGTACCGAGGGGTCTATCGAAAACAGTCTTTTTGTCCCATAGAATAAGGTCTGCATACACACTACCCTCTCTGGCGGCCACTTATGGGATCATACTAGGTTGTTGTTGTCGATAAAAATGAGAAAACAATTCTGTAGTTATTTGTTGAATAGACTAATAGGTGTAGTAAATATTTATATTGTTAGCATATATAACTTAAATATAAATCCGTCGTTTTTAATGGATTTATGTTTATTTTGGTTTAAGAACACAGCTCCTTGGGCTTCACCAGGTGAAGTTGGAGCGCAGGCAGTGGCTTTAAGAGTAACGGGAGATGAAGTTGCATTTTATGGATGTGGATTTTATGGAGGACAAGACACTCTTAATGATGATAGAGGAAGACATTACTTTAAAGATTGCTTCATTCAAGGATCCATTGATTTCATCTTTGGAAATGGTAGATCACTTTACGAGGTACTTATACTATTAACTACTAATTTTTTTTTAGATCTTTTAAAAGATAAATACAGATTATCAACAATAAGTCAAAATTATCACTTAAAAGCTACTCCCTCCCGTCCACTTTAAGTGATTTTTTTGGCTCATTTCACACATATTAAGGAATTCACCTTTTAACATCAATTAATAATGAAATTGATCATATTAACCTTAATTTGTTTATTAAAAATATCATAAACTACTCCTAAGCTCTTTACTCCAAGAGCAACTTTGAAAAGAAGAAGTTAATCCCTTCTTGATATCTGAAAAAATCAAATATTGTGGACCAGAAAAAAAAAGGCTAAAAAACCAATTGAGGTGGATTGAAGGGAGTAATATTTACTACTCCTTATGTCCCAACCTATGTGGTGATGTTCAGATTTTGAGATTCAACCAGATTTTTTTTTATCATAATTTTTTCATATGCCTTTTATATGTTTTAAGTTGTTAATTATTGTGACTTACATCATTTTTTACGTAGTTCAAATATGTAAATTTTATTTTAGAATATTTAAAGATTTTATGTCTGAATTCAGGGTCAATTACAAAAGTTTGACTCTCAAAGCCTGAACTATGCCATATGATTTTTTACTGTATTTTTTTCATATACCTTTTAAAGATTTTGAATTGTTAGTTATTATAACTTAATACTTTTTACATAGTTTGAAATATGATTTAGAAAAAACTTAAAGAATCTATATTTAAATTCATGATAAAAAATAAGAATTTGGACTCTTGAAATGCAATCTCTGACATATAAATTGGAATATCACTTAAAAGCTAATCTTTACTATAATAATGTTTAT